TCTGGTGTACCCATCTGTACGTAAAACAACGAGATGGAAATAAATTTGTGGATACGTTTGAGGGTCTTCCTCACTCTATAGTACATTCAAGTTCGCCCAGGTGGGCCTATGTTAACAACAATCCGTGAAGAATTTGCTAATTACTTTGTGAGCGAAGAAGGCAAACTAGATTGGCAATCGAATATGATATAAATCAATAAAAATGTGTGTGACTTTATAATATGACATAAACTTAATAAATGTGTGTGTAATAAAATGACTGACTTATCGATTTTATTTTTTTCTTGATTTGTTTTTTCATCAAAGTTCTCAATAACTTGGACGCAAATAATTGCCCATGCATTGTTCTTCTTTATTTTGTCGCTGTGCTCCTTAAGCTTATAGTTTCAAATAATTTCATGTGTTTTAATTGCACTTATAAGCGCATCACTATCGCACACACCCTCCATTTTCAAAGATCAGTCGACAAATGAGACGAGACAGAGAGACACGACGCGGCGAGGCCAGAAGAGAAGGGAGGGGGAGGTCGTAGAGCTGTCGACTGCTATAGAGCCGCCGACAGCTCGAGCAGTCAGTGTATGCCTCGCGGACTGCTCGTGAGCGGTCGACAGCACGATGGAATTTCATCATGTAGTTGACGGCTTGAAGCGGTCGCGACTGCTCGAGCAGTCGTGTGTACGGCAGCGAATGACTGGCTATAGTTCACCGCGCGGTCGCGGCTTCAAGCAGTCGGTTATAACTGCTTGAAGCAGTCCGTGTACGGCTGGCCTTAAATGGTTTTTGAGATAAACAAAATCTCCTGGTTTAAATTTTACTTGACGGGTGTGATTGTCATAGTAAGCTTTTGAAGACTCTTTTGATTTCCTAATAAAACTTAATGCTTTATCTCGCGAATGTTTTATCTACATTGGAGCATGCGCACATACTCTGGATATGTTGCACCTGGTGTTTCTTCGTAGACGGAATTCGGAATTACCGGTTTATTGCCAAACATTAGCTCGTAAGAAGTATAGTGGGTCGTTGAGTGGACTGATGTATTATAAGTGAGCATAGCCGTATAAACAAATCGAGGCCAATTTGACTGGCCCTCGACGGCATGATCAGTAAGTGGTTGCGTTAATTCAGGTACAGAAGTTTCTTCTCTCAAAGGATTTTCAGCAATGGTGGGCGAGACTAAGTCTGTTGAGAGAACCAAATCAGTTACTTGTTGAGGAGAATTGAGTTCGGGTAGCAATACAATATTTTCGTCGGATCGAAGCGGATCCGGACTTGAAATAGGTTCGTCGGGGTTAAAAGAAGGTGGTGATGTCAATAAGTCCATCAGATCTCTATCTCATTCTCGAGTAGAAGCGTTTTCTATATTTGGATTTGATTCAGTTATATTTTCAGGTTCAACAGGATTTACAGGGAATCTAGATAGAGCATCAGCGTTAGTATTGATTTTCACTTTTTATGCTTAATATCGTATTCGAATTCCTCTAACTTTAAACGCCATCTTATAAGGCGTGACCCTGGACCCTTGCATTTGAATAACCATTCTAATGGTTTGTGATCTGTTAGAACTGTAAATCGATGCCCATAAATATAGGGTCTAAATACTTATGTGCCAAAAATTACAGCAAGACATTCTTTCTCTGTTACACTATAGTTACCTTTGGCTCGATTTACTGTACGGGATGCGAAAGCTATAGGACGATCTTGTCCTATGACGCCTTGTGATAATATTTACTTACCCAACTGGTCGAGTATTTCCGATATTTGTGGAATTGGGTAAGTTTCTCCGATTGTGGATGGAGGATTTTATTAAAATAATAGGTACAATATAAAAATTAGACAACCGCTCTTTAAGAATGATACACGCAGACTGACTAAAGTCACTAGGATGGTAATCCTCTAAAAGTATGCATTGATGATGCAGATGATGAGTTAGCATTATGGCTAGCAATCTAGGGATGTAACAGTTCCAATAAGTCCGAGTACATCTGATGGTAACTTGTAGTCAAATCATTTTTTGTTCATTCCTTTTAATGTGCATTTAATCATTAAAATATAATTTAATGTTGTTAGCCCCATGCGATTACGTAATTTTGATTTTATTTAATTCATGGCGCTAAAAATTCTTTCTATCTCTGCATTCAAATGTGGCAGTGACAATATTGAGAATGCAAGAGTGCATAATTCTTCAAATGGATTTTGTTTTGTTTTTATAGGAATGAACTTCAATCCCAAAAAGAATCGTATCATCAATGTTTTGCCATCGTACGAAATTAATGTTTTTCCATTGTTGCGATATTTTTTCCAATACATTGATATCTATATATCCCAATTCTTTTGCCAGATCAATAATTTCATTATCATTAGTTTTAGTTCGCAAAAGTTCACTTTCGGACAGCTTGTTCATTTTACTTAAGATTTTAATATTGGGTGGAAGTCTATTTTGTAATTCTTTTTAAGCTTCACTGTAAAATCAATTTTTTTACCAGTTTGATATCGTCCTCCGTTAAGTGTAATTTGCTAGCACAAGTTTCAAAAGCATTGCCAAGTGTCGTGTAGGGATTGAGATGACTTTCCTCTCTTTCGAACAGTTTTTTCGAGTTTTGCAAATAGAGAAATGCAATTTCATTTCATCCCATTGCTGTAAAATACGAAAGACTGCTGGGTGCATGGAAAGCCATCGAGTTGTAAATACTTTAAGTATTTTCAAAGGTGCTTTGTCGCAATTTATTGTCTCATATATTTTTCTATTCTCATCTTGACGTTTTGATGATAGACAACACCAGTTGTATGTTTCTCTGATCATATATTCTATGTTTCGAGGTATAGTATTTTCAGAAGCATCACTAATTGCCAACTGTAAAGAGTGACATACGCAACGCACAAGTACTAGATTTGGCAATCCATAATCAGTTTTCAAAATTTTGTGTAGACCATTATTGGCTCCAGTCATAACTGACGCCTTGTCTGTGCCTATTCCAACTAAATTTTCAAGTTTAAGGTCATGTTCCTTTAAAGTCGCTACTATGGCATATGCCAGACTTTTTGCATCGGGTTTTTCGATGGGTGTGAGGGATAAAAATCTCGACACAATTTTCTTTTGTGATTCACTAAAATACCTTATTGCTATTCCAAGATATTTTAAAACAGATCAGTGGATTCGTCTAACAGAAAACTAAATTTTTGGGTTTCAATATCAGCTCTCAAAACTCCCTTAAAATGTGGACCCAACACTTCACTTATTATATTCGAACACTTTGTTCTATGTAATTGGAAGTCTATGGTGGATTTAGAATCCGCAAATATTTTTTTACACAGCTCTCCTAGATGTTCCACTGTTAAAACTGAAAAAAAAAAAAAAATACAGGATAAAACCATTTCGAATATTATTATATTTTTAAAAAAAGTTTAAAAACGTGCCAGAAATGTCGCTAAATTATTTTAGTCGCTAAATTGAAATAAAATTTCGCTTTTCATGTTTAAATGTCGCTTAATCTAGCGACTTTGTCATCACTGTGCATAGTACAAACACGTGTAAACAACTGGCGACGTAGCCAGTCTGTCGCCAAGTGAGTTAGCCGGCATACATCTCAATAAGAACTAGTTATTACTTATTTCAGAACGAAAGATGTAACAAATTATAATTTAAACTTAACATGAAGACATTGTGTCCAATCAAAAACATATTTAAGGAAAAGTAAATAAACCAATGATATTAAAATTATGCTATCGCGAATCATTCACATTTTTTTCAGTCATCTTCATCGTTTTCAGGTAAAAAGTATTTTTTTTACAGCTGTACTTAAAACCGAAATATTCTTTGTAATCAGTCTTTGCTCCACAAAATTTTTTAAGTCATTATATTTTTGTTGGGATATTGGTAACTTAGTCGAATATAAATTTGATTTCGGCATTGCACATTTCAGTTTGTGGCAACATTGAGTTTTTCATATACATCACATTTGGTGGCTGCAAATTTGTAGATCTGCATTACTCATATAGACTTGGGATTTCAACTATTGCTGAGATAATAAGAGAAGTTTGTCATTTTATATGGGTTTTACTGAAAGACATGTGTTTGCCACAACCTACAACAGAAAATTGGTTAAAAATCGCAAAAGATTTTCATTTAAGCGGGCTACACACCTTCAGTTTTAACTGTGCGATTTAACTGTACAGTTCAACTGTACAGTTAAATCGCGTTGGTCCATACAGCCTACACACGATCAAGTAAAAATATACGATCTTTCAGTTTTTATCATCATGGCCTACATAGACCACGCTTTAGCGATCGTAGGGCTAATGTGTGTGTTAAAAGAAAATAGAAGAAAACGAAAAAAAACGTGAATTGTGGTGTAAACACTGGCTTCTGTTGAGAAAATCGTATTCACACACATCCTTCATAAATAAATTGAGAATTACTCTAAAAGATTTCAATAATTATTTTAGAATGAATGAAGATACATATTTGCATCTGCTGTCATTAGTGACACCATTAATAAAAAGGCAAGACACCATATTGAGAAATGCTATAACACCTCATGAAAAATTAACGGCAACTTTAAGATTTCTAGCTACAGGGAGATCTTATGAATGTTTAAAATTTACAGAAACCTGTGAAGCAATTTATAAGGTTTAACACAAGGACTACTTAAAGGTAAGAAATAAAAAGACTCATGTTTTATTTATTTATTTATTTTTTATTCAAATCATCTTGTGAAATCTTGTCATCAAACTACAAATTTTAATTATTGTTCAATGTAAATCGCGATACATATGACTCCGCTGTTTCCTCTGTCCAGTCCGGGATTAATAGTTGGGCCGTAGTATCACCCATAGCATTTATTGCTTGTGTCTCTTGAATTTCTTGACCATATGAAGATGTGTTTGTTTGTGGTACTATATTTGTCACCTGAGGTGCTAGTGTGCCTGCTTGATAGTACTGAGGTCGATGTATGGGTGACTGATTTGAAGTACCTGTATATTGTAATGGTGATGGCATAGAGTTATGAGATGGTGATGGCAAAAGTTATGAGATGGTGATGGTATAGAAGTTGAACTACTTGACCGTAATCGGAAATCATTGTTTTTGGAGCCATTACTCTATGTGACATTGTAAGATTTCCCATCTCAGCTTCGAATAAAGTTTCATTTATTATTTTTTCAGCCAACAACTGTTGCTGTTTATTTTTAAATTCTCGAAGTTTCAATGCTATCATTTTTCCGATAATGTCGTAGCGATCCTCTTGATATGTCGGCCGTTTAAAGTGGTCCTGAACGGATTGCAAAACGTCTTTTGTTAGATCTTCATTATTTTTCCGCTTTGTTTGCCGTTTAGATGCCGAACCATGAGCAGACGAAGTTGAAGCAGTAATTGAGGTGAAAGCCGCAGGACTCTGAGCAGAAAGATTTTCAGTAACATCTAACTCTGAATGCGCTGCTTAATTTTCAGACACTGATGTTGCACCCGATGATTCCATCACGTTAATCTGTAACATTTACTTTGTTTCAGTTTCCAAAGTTGCAGTGAATGGAAAGCAATTAGTGCATTATTTGAAGAAAGATGGAACTTTCCACATCTACTTGGCGCAATAGATGGTAAACATATTGCTATAGGGTGTCTCAGTAAGAGTGCACTTTTTAAAATTGTAATATTTTTGTTTTCCTGCATGTGACAACTCTGAAATTTGACAGCTGTCACGTCTGTTTATTCCGATTATTAAAAATGGAGCGCTTTTTGAAAGAACAACTCGTTATAATTGTGAAAACTCATTACAAAAGTAACGATGAAAACGCTCGCAAACTTCACCAAATTTCCAGCCGAGAAAGTGTACCTAATGTGTCAACCATTCGAAGAGCGGTCAAAAAATTTTAAGAAACTGGGTCAATTATGGATAATAAGAATCCTTTGCGTCAACGTACCGGTCTGTCCCTTGAAAACGTTGCTGCTGTAAACGAGAGTGTCGCCGAATACCCGAAAACATCAATTCGACGCAGCAAATTTTGACTAAAGATGCGTACAAGATTCAGTTAACTCAGGAGCTCAAACCAGCAGACCAAGGAAAGCACCGGCAATTTTCTCAATGAGTAAAGGAGCAAAGGGAAGTGGATGCCAATTTTTCGAAAAAAGTCATTTTCTCCGATGAACAGAACACATTATCTTACGAAATTCTGATGTCAACTGGCCACCAAGATCGTGCGATTTAACGCCGTGCGATTTTTTGTTTGGGGTTTTGTGAAATCTCGAGTTTATACGAATAAACTCGAAACCATTCCTGAGCTCAAATCAGAAATCCAACGCGTCGTGTCAGCACAATTGGGTTACACGAACCTTTTGGATTTGTGATTCTGCATTTCCGATGACACTATATTGTTTACCAGTATTTGGACTAACAAAAAATTCGTTTCCTTGTTTAATCGGTTTATAGATTTTTCTACACTTTTTAGTAGGTGGTGAAAAAATTTCGTCAGATTCACTGTCACTCTTGTCTTTGAATATTTCAGTCGCTGGGGGACCAATTCGAATATTTTTTTAAATTTTAACTTTTTTTACAGGGCTGTTTTTGTTTGGTATAACCCTTTGTATTACTTTTCTATATTTTAATTGTTTAAACTCTTCCGATTCACTGGACGAATCAGAGTCAAACAATATGAGCCTCTTTTTGCATCGTTTATGGCTTGAACGTTCCATAATGTAACAAACAAGTACCTACTTTTCACTTATTTTAATATCGTAAAAACACGAGCTAGTCAGCGTGGTGGCAACGCACTTCCGTATCGAAACGTGTCACCTCACTAAGTCAAGACGTGCGGGAGTGAGGCCTGTAATTTTTGAGATACTTTATTCGCTCATATTCTATTGTATTACGCGAGTGATAAATATAGAGTAAGTTAAAAATATTCTATTATTTCGAACCCTGATGACCCAGGAACCGTACAATAGTTAATAAGTTGTTGTAATGATTAAAGATTTTATTTTGGTTTAGTAATTAGTTTATTAAGTACTAGGTTATGTAAATTTTGTAATATTTCTTGTATCCTAGTGTAGTGGTTTAAAATGTATTTCGTGGTTTGTAGGGGAAAGATGTAGCATCTATCGCCTACCTGCTATTACGAACATTAATAAATTAGTCTCGTCTTCCGAGCCCGTCTTTTATTGACGTATCAGTAAGGAAAGGGGATCTTCCTGGCTATTCCTGAAATATAAAATAATTGTGTTAAAAATATACTTACATGCTTCATATTTTCATGTTTGTGAAATAAATTTATTGCATATTTCATCCCATGCCTTTTTCTTTTCAATTTTATTTCTGTACTTGTCGGACCTCAAATCCCATTTCGCTAGACGACTCTGAACCTCATAAATTAATTCTTCAACCTGATTTTTGTTTTTGATCATGTTACAAGTCTACTGTACAAAATATATGTGCGCGCAGCACTAGTCAATCGATGAACTGATGCGTGGCCGCAGCGCGTTGTTTATTTACGACTTACAAACGCGCTGCCACCGCGCGGCACTTTGCGGCAAATTTGAAGGTGCCCTTACACCTCGTAACGTTGGTCAGTAACCCACCAACCTTACCATGGTCTTTTCGACCTCGCGGTCATGCGGACCGGGTCTCGACCGAATCAATGGGAGATGCGCCGGTGTGTCTATGTGCATCGTCACCGTCGCACTCTCTTGACTCCCTACAAATTTTACGCTATTTCTGTCCCATGCGGATTCTCCCTCTCTCTTGAGAGGGCTGCGCGAGGCGTGTCCATTGACTCTGTATTTTCAGGGGAGGAATCCTTGACGTTGTGGCCTGCTGATGGAAAGGATCTGTGCTTTTATTGGATGATTGTAGTTCTTCGTATAGATTTGGTTCATTGATAACTGCATTTTGTTTTAATTCTTGTTTGCGCTTATTTAATAATACCTCAAAGATTTTAATTACCTTCTTCTAGACCTCAACATTGGATCGAGTTCCTGCTAGTTTTTCTAATGTGATTCTATTTGTGATTGTTTTGATTACTTTAAACTGAATTGATTCTATTAAGTTTGATTCGAATGATGATGGATCGATCTTATCCAGGAGTTCATTCTTTGCCTTTCTGAAAAGACGTTCCAGAACGTCCAACCTCTTTGAATAGGGAATAGTGGTTCTTGTGTTCCCTGAAGATAACCAGATACACACACACCTCCCTACAACAGAACTATCTGCAGGCTGAAGTGATCCCTGGTTGCCTATCGAAGCAGTGTTTGGATCGGGACGATCAGTAATAAATGATGGTGCAAAGTCACAGTCTTGAAAGACATCTTCATTGAACGGCCAAATTCCAGGTTTTTTATATGAGTTGATGATATTGTTTTGAGTGAATGCAGTGGAAATGCTTCTTTTACAATTCCAGGGGGGGGGATCATAGATCGTCATGGTCTTCCCAGGATGTTTAATCATTCAGTTCGTTTGCTGCCGGCTAATATAATTTTTAAACGGTCCATACACCAACATCTGGAGGTTTAAGATTATGGAACAATGTGGAGGGAAAGACAAAATAATGATGTGGTTTATTTTTTGCCTTGGTGACGACCTCCACATTCACATGATGATTATCGAATAGCAATAAAACTTGTTCATGCTCTGATGTTTTAACATGTTTTAGAAAGTAGTCAATAAATATTGAAAATTATTTTTCAGTCATCCATCCGGAACTATTTCCTACGCCTACAGACCCGGGCGGCCCATTTTGGACGAATAAATCACTATATCTGATCCGCGGAAAAACGAACATACAAGGTATGAAATTACCAATAGCATTTGCCGCTGCTGCAATTGTGACGAGAGTACCCCGTTCTGCAGATGTTCCCCTACTTGCTTGGAACTTAGTTGAGCTACCACTTTCTTGGGTTTTTGCACCGTTGCTTACAAACATCTGCGCCCGTATACCGCGACGAGAGCTACGTGACCCTTTTGTTCGGCGAAGCATTTTATGCATCTATTAACATTCCTAATTTAACCATATTTCTGACTTAAATTATGTACATTTAATTTAGGATTTTAGGATTTAGGTCAGACATATTAATAAATAAAATGCCACTAAAATTCCATATTATAACTCTATGGGACAGGTCATTTTGGCGAACGGAAACAACTGGTTCAAACTCAGAGATATTTATTGTACAAGAAGTATACAGCAATATTTGACATACAGTTAACAGTACTTTGAACTTAAGCACCAGCAGGCGTTTCGCCAGAGACAACGTACTACCACTTGAGTAGTGGTTTTATTTGCGAGGATTGCAGTGGTAGGTGATCAATTGCTTGAAGGCAGCCAACCAAGTACAATACTTGCTCCTAACATTAGTCAAAAAGTGAAATTTTACATTAGGCTTATACGGATTCTACGTCGAACAAACGATAGCGCGATCTATTTCGATCCCAGCGCCATCTATGAACATCTTTTGGTACTAAACTTCTGTATGGCGCTGGGCCTGTGAAGATTGCGCGTGTATTGGATAGGTAGCTCCTTCTGCTTGTTACTTAGGGTACTACATTCTCCCTCATTTGTTCCCGAGGTGTCCCACCGAGGTAAGATCTAGCGCTTCTTGGGCCTCCCACGACCGCAAACAGGATCCCTTGCGTGGTCTGCCTCGCTTCCTTAACGGTTGAACTGGTGTGGGTAATTCTTCACTTAATCCAGTGTAGGGAGTTAACGCCGATGCATGATAAATCCCAAGACACAAGACAGGGTTCGATGGGTCCGCTACTGCATATGAAGATGGCCCATGCTGTTTGATGATCATGTAAGGACCATCTCGCAGAGGCGCAAACTTAGCCCTAATGCCTTTGCTCGCATACCTTAGTGGATGTAACGCCACCATGACCATATCACTCTCATTGTATTCTGGTCGAGTCCTACGATGCTGATCCACGAGCTCCTTTCTCTTTTCTTCTTCTATCTCGTGTACTTCTCTAGTTCTTTCCATTACAGTAGCTAACTAATTTTGGGGTTATCTCTGGTATAAAATTCCTGAGAGTACTATTTGCCGGAAGTCATTATAATTGTCATCCATAGTTCTCAATTGTCGTCCGAAAGTTAGGAAAGCCGGAGTGTGAGACGTTGATTTGATAACAAATATTCATGGCAAACCTGATGCTAGGTAAATGTCCTGGCCATTCACGGTGATTGTTCCCAACAATCTTTGCTAACGGAGTTTTTAGGTCACGGTTCTTTCGTTCTACTGGGTTTGTTTCGGGATGGTATACCGGTGTATAAGCATGTTTGATCTTTAGACAGAATGAGACTTGCTGCATAATGGCGCTGACAAACTGAGGTCCATTGTCACTGATCATTCTCTTGGGGAACCCGTTACGTAGAAAAACTTAATTTATCAGAACTGTGGCGCACCTTTCTGCCGTGGCATCTTCTAGGGAAAATAATTCAACCCAGCGCGAGTTTATGTCCTCTACGATAAAGATCCACGTTTTACCATCGGAAGAAGGTGGAAGCGGGCCAAACAGGTCAAATGAGATAACCTCGAATCTTTGACTCAATGCGTGGGTTTGTAAAAGTTCAGCAGGCTTCTGGTTGGATGGTTTGTAACGTTGACACTTGATGCATTGTTTTGCATAACTTTCGATGTACTTCCGCATACCAATCCAGTAGTATCGACGCGATATGGCTTGATAAGTCTTATCAGCGCCATAATGCCCTGCGTTAGGATCATCGTGATACACGACTAGCATATTTGCCCATTCGTGCTCTGGCACCACTAATTGGGCCTCATCCGAATCCGACTCTGATTTGTGACGATATAAAAGACCGTCGTTCATTAAATAACCTTTTCCACTCCAATAGTGGGCATTCTCATCGCCATGGCCGTTTTCCAATGCACGGATTATCTTTTCCAGCTTCACATCTTTAAACTTAAACTGTGAATTATTTGGGGTATACAAACCTTGCTTTTGGTTGGTACCGAATTTAAAGTTAGAGAAATTAGGCTTAAATCCTTGAGGTTGTGGTTGTGGTTGTATTCCGAATTTGAAATTCATTGGAGGCTTATTTTGGTATTGGGGTAATTGACTAAACTTATTAAAATTATTTCGTGAAAAATTATTTTGTGATTAATTATTTTGTGGTAAATTATTTTTTTCATGAATATTCTGAGTATATTTTTGTCTATTAACACTCCGTGATTTATATTGGTTAAGGAAATTTACTTCTTCCATTACTACACTGAGCGCGTCTTCTAGAGTTATACATCTATGAAGTCGGACAGCGGGTATCATATCTTCGGGCAAATTGAAAAGGAAAACATTTAAACATGTATGGTTATATATATTCATCTTTGCCTTCTTAATATTCTCGTCCCCTATTAAATTAATTTTTGAAAATAATGTGCTACGGACGCTTTGGATTCGATTACAATAGCTTAAATATGACTCGCCTTGATTAATTTTAATATTTTCTAATTCAATCCAAATACATTCTTCACTTCTAGGATCTCCGAAATGTTGGATAAGAATTGTTTTTAACTCAGCCCAATTAATATCTTATCGTTCACTAATTAAGTGACTCGCCTTGCCTCTTAGACGGCTTGTAATAGCGAGATAGATATATATGTCTTGCGCTACATTTGGAGGCTCTGATCTAAAAGCTCTAATACCATATTCACCATTTTTTTTTAAATAAATTTAATAACTTTTCATCTCCATCGAATTTAGGTAGAATGTTTAAAATATCGGATGGGATAGTGCGTATTTCCTGCATCTTAATTTTAATAATAACAATTATTTCTTACAATGTAGGAATTAAAAAGAATATAACTTTATTAAGTATTCTTTTTTTTTATATTTTTAATTTACTTTATAATTCGATATAATTTTATTTATATTGTATTTATTTATTTTAATTTATAATTCATATAATTTTTATATATTTTCTTTTTAATTCAAATAATATATTTTTCAACTTAAAATTACTTAAATCTATTCTTACACAATCAAACGGAAATAAAACGGGACAGGTTGGAATGTGAAGAGGTTTACTCACATAAGTCTGGAACCCATTTCTTCCACTTATAACTGCTACACTTGTTTTACTTTTTAACCTTTTACTATCGCGCGATCGATAATGACAAATTTGTTTGGTTGTAAAATACCCGTTAAATGCGTTAAAAAACACGCGCAACCCTATACTCAGACCGATTTTTAGTCTTCACAGGCACAGGATTACGACGGATATCCTACCGGCTGCGCCAGTCAAATCGCGACAGTATTGAAAAGGTTTTTTAAAAAAATGCAAACTTTATTAATGAATATTACAAGTGTTCTTAACTATGGTCGATACTAGACCCTAATTCTACGGTGGTCGATGCAAGACCCTATAGCTACGGTGGTCGATATTAGACTCAAGTTATTCTAATTATATTCTTAAATTTATAATCTAAAAATCCCTTACATGATGTAAAACATACAATGTCAAACAATCGGGGTGTTGTTTGTATTAATGCTTACAGTGCGTTCCGAGTATATGGCTGACAATGTAACTAGCTTGAGCATCAAACTTGATATTTTTATTTTCACCTTGTGTTACGAGTATTTTTCTTAAATTCTCATCTTTAACTATCAATGTGGTGCCCGTGTCTGTAGGAGTGGAATGTCGTGCCATACGCAGGCGATTCGTGTATTTCCTTATTAATTGGATCACATGTATCCAAAATTCCATTTTATCATCTTCTGGTAATCTTTTTATAGACGGTAATATGGAGACCAAGAAAGCTTCATCTTCGTCCGATGGCATTAGCCTCTTTGTCTCAGGCGAGTTGCTCTTATGCACTTCATTTGAACTCTGCAAAATCTTTAAAATCTCAATATCGACAGGATTCATGCGTTTCTTTATTTGTCCTGGGTGGTCATGTGTTGTCAATGAATCATTTGCCACCGTTGACATCGAGTCTTGAGTATAATCAGATTCTGATGGTATACTGGAAACAGTCTCATCAGGCGTAAATACCTTTAATAAAAATTGAAGTTGATTATGATACACATAATTTTTCATTGATTTTTTAAAGGCATCCCGTATGTTATTCCATTTGTTGATGATACTGTTGCCTGAAACAAATGAATTGAATATTAAGAACCTACGTGTACCTTTTATTACAGATGGCAAGTGAAAATAGCTTCACAGATTTATTTTACACCTACAAAATGGGCATTGCTACTATCAGCAACATTGTTGATACGGTATGCTGTGCAATATGGGAGAAGTTTGGAAAATATGAGTTAACAGTACCGACAAATGAAAAATGGAAAACAATCGCTGAAAATTTTGAAGGAAGAGCTCATTTTCCACACTGTTTAGGTGCTGTGGATGGAAAACATATACGGATTGAAAATTTTCCAAACTCTGGTTCAATGAATTTAAATTATAAGGGGTACTTCTCCATTGTACTTATGGCGGTGGTAGATTCAAATTATAAATTCATTTTTTCAGTTTATAGATTATTGACTATTGATGTGTTCCATAGACATGGATATTTTTTTACTGATTCAATAAATTGTTCATCCATTACGTTTTATTTAAATTAATTAATTGTTTACGTTGAAAAATACAAACTACACAATTATTCACGATAGAATCGTGTGCTCGCGTGAACGGTACTAGCAAGATGACCGGCGGCGCGCGAGTAAAGGAACGGCAACGGACTTTTAGTTTAAAATAATTTATTTAAATGAACAGAGTGACAGCACTTAATTAAGAACTAAACAATAATCATCATAATATCTATTTCTTCTCGTATTTATACATTAAAATTACTTACTAAGTATTGGTCGTTGCTAACGCACGACCTTCATTTGGTTTCGTGCTAGCAAAGCATATATCTATAGGGTTGGTACTCTTAACGCGCGCGGGGCTCTGCGGGTTGCTGGCGGGCGAGAGGGGGGAGGGTGACACCGCTCACTGCATGCTGCTCACATCTCTCGTCTCCACTGCGCGTCGTCCGCGCACAGCTCACATCTCCGCTTCCATCGTGCCATACAAATATTAAACATCTCCGGAGATGTGTCAATAACACAAATCTTATTGGTTGTTTGAAAAACATCTCCTCTCTTCTCGTCTCGTCTCCGCTTTGTTGGAGTCCCGGCCTTAGACTACCTTCTCCGGCTACTTTTTCACCGGGGCGAGTCGATTAAGCTAAGCATTCTTTCATTTCTTCCTCTAAATAAAATGATGCGTTATTTTTATTTAAAGCAAAATTGCCTTCAGGAGGCTGGGAGTTGATGCTACTCGTATTTGATACATTCTTTCTTCCTGTTTACAGTTTCGTTTTGCGATTGGTCACAGACGGCAAGTCTGGTTTTACTTACTTACAAAAATTAAAGCTAATAATTTTTTAAACTTAGACAAAAGGTACAATGACAAATAATTGAAACGTACGTACGTAATACAAGGTGGGCCATAAGGGTGTTGGCGGTTTCAATATTCAATTAAAAAAGAACTACGAGACATAACAAAGTTGACGATATCCCAGCCCACACGACGAGCTTAGGGCTGTGAAGTGGACGTTCATGCAAGCGTCGGGGGATGAGTCTCGGACCAGAACCGACAATTTTGCTTGTTCACATGGCCATTAAGGTGAAAATTGGCCCCATCACTAAACATCACGTTGTTGAAATTGTTGAACCGCTCGAGCATCAGATTGACAAAGTTAAGTCGGTTATTGGCATCATCTGGTTTTAAATCTTGGACTACCTGAATCTTATAAGCCTTCAAATGCAAATCACGCTTCATAATTCGTCGCAAAGTCGTTCTTTTGATGTCCAAAGACTGACTTCTCTTACGTGTTGACTGTTGCGGATTTCGCTGAACTGAAACATGAACTCGCTCCACAATGTCGGCTGATCTTGCAGAAACTGGGCGACCACTAGGCGTAATTGGTACTGTTGAGCCGGTTGTTTCGAACATTCTGATCCATTTCCGTATCACATTGGCGCTTGGAACTGCACTTAAATCGCGTAAACCGTGTTTATGTCGATACAAACGTCGTGCAGTAATCACAGATTTATTGTTTTCGTTAAACGCTTGGACACAAAATGCACGCTTCGCTCCCGTGTACGGCTCCATGGCGACTAAATTTCAGGAAGCGGGGCAGCTAACAACCTATACCACAGCTGCCCCGCTCCACGCGTTTCCGAGAAATTGAAGAATTAAATCGCCAACGCTTATATGGCCCACCCTGTATAATGTACATGTTAATTTTTATATCCTTAAAATTATTATGATGATGATTTCTATCTTACATCCATCACGTGAAGAGAAATTTACTGTTGAGAGTATAATATTAATATAAATTAAATTAAGGGCATACAGAGTAAAAGAGATAAAATTGTACTTTTCTTGTTAAATTGTTGGTTTTCTAGCTTAAAGTTACTATATAATGTTGTTTGTAATCTTATAATTATGAATTAAATCAAGATTTTTGGTGAAAAATAGGGAAACAATTTCTTTTACTAGTGAAATAGAGATGTATTTCGCATTTGAAGCAATAAATATATGTTTTGCCCTTGCATTCTGGTTTTTACATCTAGTAGCTTCCTTTTGTATCGTATTCTGGAAAATGATCAACAGTGTCGTACTGAACTTTAGGTGATGGCCTCATTTCAACTTGACGTGGGGCTGCTACTACCAGAAGGTGGACGTCCTCTATTTCTGTTGTTTAGTAGCTGTCCCATTTTTAACAGAGAATCTGCTACGCGATGCATAAAATGGAGTAAATCCAGAATATCTTTCTCAGGTTCTTATAAACGGCACAGTCTGCCTGATATTCCAACTAACTGTTAGATGGTGATGTGGTGGTGGTGATAAATCGATGGCATATGAAGCTTCCATTTTTTTCGATCGAATAAAAATACGGTACAGACTAATGATGATCTGTTTTATCTACTCCTCCCATTCGTACTTTTGCGTATCTACGATTCGCTACACCACCCCCCTACGGAGACAGAAAGGCTAAGGCAAAAAAAAAAAACAATAACATAAAAGGTACTTAAAATATTAATTTTTTTTAACATTACAAAGAAAAACTTAAAATTTACAAATCTAACCTAGTCTTAAATCTAAACGTTCTGCCTAACCTGGTAACAACAGGATTAGGGGCTGAATATTTTCCATACTAGGCGAAAGTAATGACGGCGGCGTAGGGCTAGGTGCGCGAGCTGAAAGAAAAGCAAACTGATCGACGAACGCTGGTTTAACGCGATCCACACTTACAGTTACGTCCTTCCCCTTTAAATCGATGTTCAGGGTTTTACCATCAATGGCGTACTTTAAAACTTTATATGGACCCGTGTATGGTGGCTGCAGAGGACGTCTGACGGTATCGTCACGCAAAAATATGTGCGTTGCTCCAGGTAGCTCTTTAAATACGAAGGGTCGTTTGTTGCCATGTCGCGATGCCGGTGTTGGTTGTACTTCAGCAATTTTCCTTTGAAGACGTACAACAAAATCAGCCGGGTTTTCCATTGCTAAAGTTGGCTTGTCATCTAGGACAAGGAGTTGTCCTGGTAGACGTAATGGCTCTCCATATATCATTTCTGCAACTGAGCAGTTCAGGTCTTCCTTCAGGGCCGACCGCATACCCAGCCAATACCAATGGCAACGCTCTAGTCCACGTATCATCGTGGCATGTTAGGGCGGCTTTAAGTTGCCAGTGAACTCGCTCAATCATGCCGTTTGCGCAGGGATGGTAAGCAGTGGTCCTTTTACGCCTTGTGGCAAACCTTAGCATCAGACGATGGAAAAGATCCGACTCGAACTGCGTGCCCTGGTCGGTTGGCAAAACAGCTGGGACATGGAAGCGTGGAATCCATTCACGGGTGAACGTTTCAGCTACTTCCTCAGCGGTGATAGAATGCATAGGCCGAGCTTCAGGCCACCTGGTCACTCTATATATAGCTGTGAGGAGGTAACGGTACCCAATACTGACAGGGAGAGGTCCAACGATGTCAATGTGCACATGTAAAAATCGTCCCCATGGCAACTTAATCTCTCCTGTCGGCGCCGAAACGTGTCGCGTAATTTTACTGCGCTGACATGCCAGACATGAATGAGTCCACTCTCTGCAGTCCTTTCTAACTGATGGCCATACGTATCGATCGGTCACTAGCCTAATGGTTGCTCTAACGCCGGCATGACTCAAATGGTGAAACTTGTCAAAAACCGCACGGCGAAAAGGAGGTGTTAAATAGGGTCGCGTTTTCCCGGTTGAGACGTCACAAATAATAGAAATATCTGTTCCAGGAATATTAACCTTAGAAAGTTGAAGACCTGAGTCAGTTGAAACTAAGATGGTAGAGAGCTCTGGATCAGACTCTTGGGACTTTAAAAGAGCTTCAAAATCTTGTTCAATCGATATTGCTTCTATGCGTGACATCGCGTCAGCTACTACATTTTCTTTTCCATTTACATGTCTTACATACGTATATATTGAGGGCGTAATTTTGAGATTGCCAGTGTTACTCGCTGTATTATTCGACACACTGTAGATTTGTGACGTCCAGACATATCACCCACATATCTCAAGAAGGATCCTGAGGCGTAATATTGCAAGGTAACCAGGACCTGATCAATCGGTTTCACTGCGAGATTTCTGAAACAATGTTGAATACTGTCTTGTAACGCGATTGATTTGAGATATAATAAATTATATAGGCCCAAGATGGTACCTACCTATAAGTACAATACAATAAACAAAAAAATAACTTACTTGTCCGTATTACTTGTTATTTCATTTTTAATTGATTCTGTTATATAAATTGCTACCTCCTTTTAAACCCGGAATCTATCAATAAATTCATTTTCAGAGTAGATTCAGAGTAAATTTGATTCTACCAAAACGTTAACCAGAGGCGCTTGGAATTCAGCCGCTTTTGGAAGAAATCGTCGAAAAAAATTGACCATTCCTAGAAACCTACGGAGGCCTTCGACTGGAAGAAGATAATTCCGTAAAGCTTCAATTCTGTCTGGAGGTGGGCGAGTGCCATCTTTAGAAATGAGGAAACCTAAAAAAGTTACCTCTTCGGTTCCAAGTATGCACTTCGATGTATTAACGACGATGCCATATTTTGCGAATCTGCGGAACAATGAGCGAAGGTGCTCAGCATGCTCCTCAGGAGTTTTGGAAAAAACCAAAACGTCATCAATGTACGGGTAACAGAAATTAAAACCTCGTACAACTTCATCCATAAAACGCTGAAAAGACTGGCCAGCATTACGTAGACCAAATGTCATATAAAGGGGAACTCGGCGGACCGGATAGCGGTCCGGGATAGTCCTGGCATTTAAAGCACGATAATCGCCTCAAGGTCGCCACCCGTCCTGCCCTTTTCGCGCCATGTGAAGTGGTGACGCCCAGGGGCTGTTTGAAGGTCGAGCTGTACCACAGGATACCATTTCCTCGAACTCTTTCTTAGCCGCTAAGAGTTTTTGCGGTGCTAGTCTCCGTGGTCGACATGAAACTGGGGGGCCCTTGGTGGTAACTATGTGATGCTGTGTGGAATGTTTTACCAGTCTCGGAAGTCCAGGAGCACAAGTAATATCCGGAAACTCGTGCAGGATCGTAGTGAATGGCGATTTAGCGACAATTGTCTTGATACTCGCCTGGTCCACCTGAGAGATAGTAGCAGGTGCTTTTAGATTAGTACTACCATCTAGAATGCGGCGGTTGTGGCAATCTGGCATAAGGTTGTAGTGCGCTAAAAAATCGGAATCAATAATAATAGGCGTGCTCACATCAGCAATGACAAAATGCCAAATAAAGTCCCGGCGTAAACCTAAATTTAATCGCATGGGAGAGGTACCGTTAATTTTAATTGCACTCCCATTGGCGGCGCGTACATCAAACTTCGTGGAGCTTTAGTTACCTTTGAGCAAACTGCGCGGGAAACAACTAATGTCTGAGCCAGTATCAATCAAAAATCGATGTCCTGACCTGGAATCAACCACGAAAAGTCGGCGGCCGTGGATTGCACAATCAGATGCCGCCTCTACTGATTGCTCTGTCCGTTTCCCTGTTTGTTCCCAGCGGTCCAAGAGCATGGAGCAATACATTTACTGGCCTTTTCGGAAAACCTTCTATGATACCAACACAGTTTGGTACCAAAAGAAGATCTGGAGTGAGGTTGAGGAGGGCCTTGAGAACGAGATCTTGAATTCCTTGGTCTCGCACCAACTATTTTCGTTAATTGCTCAATACATTTTATTAATTTCGTGAGCTCAGAAGGCAAGTCTGTAACTGTTGAAGGCTGTGTTAGGTTCAAAACTTGTTGTTGCATAGCTTCCATTTCGGCTAAGAGCTCTTCGTTGTTAATTGTAAAGCAAAAAAAATGCGAAAAAAAAACACGTCGGAAACTTCACTTAGCGAAAAATCACGTCGGAAACTTCACTTTGCGAAATATTACGTCGGGGTCACCATTTATGACTGCGGGTCCATGGGTCCCGGGTTCGATCCCCGGCTGAGACAACCATCGATGTGATAAGCATTTGGTGTTGTGCTTAGGTCTTTGGTGTTTAAATATGTATTTATATGTCTATCTATCTATAATATGTATGTATATCAGTTGCCTAGTACCCATAACACAAGCTTCACCAGCTTAGCATGGGACTAGGTCAATTGGTGTCAAATGTCCAATCTAAAAAAAAAAAATCTTGTTATCCATCCACTTCCACATTGGGCACCTGGTCAGAAAATCCTCGGTGCCTTTTTGCTCCTTCTCTATTTGTTACGAGAGGGGGTTTTCCAAACCTGTCTAATCTGATTGTTCCTCCAGCATAAATTTGTCTTTCTGCAGGGTCTAGCAACAAAAGGTAATTGAAAAAGTAATTATCGTAGAATAAATAATGTCCAGGGCTAATTATTCGTCTTAAGTCGATAAAAGCACTCCAGCGTGTCTAGGACCACGTTATACAGTTTGCCTGATTTCAGGGACCTCCTTAGAGATACCCTTAACCGAAATGAGCGGGATGTACCGCCGCTCCTCTGGTGCTTTGATTGCGTTGGTGGCTTAAAGGACAGGTGCGAGTAGGTACCATGTTACTGATCTGGAGATAAAATATTTATGTGGGTACAATCAATGGCACCTAACACTTTAGGGAACCTGGCTATATTATAAAACTTTGTAGCCATTTGTTCCTTTTCTTGGTCAGTCCTTGGCATATATATATATATTGAGGGCGTAATTTTGAGATTGCCAGTGTTACTCGCTGTATTATTCGACACACTGTAGATTTGTGATGTCCAGACATATCACCCACACATCTCAAGAAGGATCCTGAGGCGTAATATTGCAAGGTAACCAGGACCTGATCAATCGGTTTCACTGCGAGATTTCTGAAACAATGTTGAATACTGTCTTGTAACGCGATTGATTTGAGATATAATAAATTATATAGGCCCAAGATGGTACCTACCTATAAGTACAATACAATAAACAAAAAATTAACTTACTTGTCCGTATTACTTGTTATTTCATTTTTAATTGATTCTGTTATATAAATTGCTACCTCCTTTGAAACCTGGAATCTATCAATAAATTCATTTTCTTTAAATAAATTAAAATTATAAATTCGCTTTTTAAAAACTTTTTTTTCTCACAAGCACTTGAGCTGCATTTTCTTCTTCGAAAAAACTACCATTAAAAGTATTAAATAAAATTGATTCCATTATGCAACTTTTTAAAATTAATGCCGCGTGTAGGAAGTACGAACTACGAAGTTACAAACCAAAATTTAACAATTATTTATTATTATTTTATTTATTTATTTACACTTCGTTGCAAATAAAAGAAACAATACATAAAAATTATAAGGGATGCAACGGGCGGCTTTATCGCTAATAACCGATCTCTTCCAGGCTAAAAACTTCTTACAAATTCATGAACAGCGAATAGTGATGCAATAGGAAACATAAGAATTATACAAGTCACGATTGATCAGGATAGGATAAGGTTAAGAAATGATTATACAGAAGAGTTTTAAAAGATGACAGAGAGGTAGCCAATCGCATGGAGTCGGGCAGCCTATTCCACAACTTAATAGCGGATATCGTGAATGAATTGCCTAAGAAGGATGAAGTGTGGGATGGAATTTCCAATAAACATCTATTAGAAGAGCGTAACATATAGTTAGAAGGACCTAAGAATTTGAAGTGATTTTTGAGATAAGAAGGGGTTTTCGGATTGAAAAAATTGAGTATAGAACTTGAAGAAGATGAGCGTGACGTCTGAATCGAATAGGTAGCCTACGGAATTTAGACACATGGTCATATTTTCTAAGAACAAATATGAAACGTATGCAGAAATTCTGCAGGCGTTCGATCTTGTCAAGTAGCTCTTCGTTCAAATCAGAGGAGCATGAGTCCGCATAATCGAGAATAGGAAGCAGAAGAGACTGCGCTAACATAGTTTTAGTGCGGATAGGAAGGAAATTAGAAAGACGTCTCAGAGTAAAAGAAGCGGCGTAAAGTTTACGGCTGATCTCCTTTACGTGATGACCCCAGGAAAACGTTTGGTCGAAGAAGACCCCAAGGTTTTTAACAGTCTTATTGAGGGCCAAGGCCACACCATCAAGGTAAACACCAGGGAGCTGAGCCCATTTGACTCTTGAAATAAAGAAAGGGCTTCTGATGATGATGACTTGACTCTTGGCAGGATTAATTTGAAGACCAAAGTCTTTACTCCAGTTGGCTATGTTTTCAAGATCATCATTCATCGCCTGTATTGCAAGAGGAAGCTCATCCAGTGTAGACTGAACGTAAATTTGGAGGTCATCAGCGCAAAGGTGATAATTAGCCGATAGATGTGCAGTCAGGGTGTTGATAAAGATAGAAAAAAGAAGAGGTGAAAGAACGCCACCCTGCGGAACACCAGTACTTATATTATTCCACTGAGAGTAAGCATCATTCATTTTAATACGCTGCTGACGACCGTTAAGATAACTATGAAACCAGTCAATAGCGGATGGACAGATATTCATAGAGCGAAGCAACCCAAGCAGAATTTCAAAGTTCACAGTATTGAAAGCATTGCTAAAGTCAAGCAGAGTGAGAACAGTGAGCTGCCCACCATCCATCCCTCGGCGAATGTCGTCACAAACTTTAACCAAAAGTAATGATAATCAATATGAAATAAGGATATTTTAACTAAAAAAAAAATTTATTTCTCTACATAGTCTCCTAGCAAGTCAATACATTTAGTCCATCTTTTTTCTAAACCCATAATTCCATTTGAAAAAAATTCTTTGTCTTGACTCGAAAAACACCTCTACAGCAGTCATCACCTCGCTATCGTCGTCAAAATTTTTGCCTCGGAGGTATTCCTTCAGCCGAGGAAAGAGGTAAAAGTCACTGGGAGGAAGAGGCTCGTTTCCAAGTCATTGACTGTTGTTTAGTTTCCGGATCAAAATGATGGATCCAGGTCTCATCCATAGTCACGAAACGAAACAAAAAAATTTCCTGATCCGTCTGGAACTTTTCGAGATTCGCCCTCGAAATGTCTACTCGATTTTTCTTTTGCTCGTCGGTTAACATTCTCGTCACCCAACGCGCAGAGACCTTTTTCATATGCAGCTCGTTTGCAAAAATTCTTTGAACACTGCCATATGAGATCCCTGTGACCTCAGCTACATCTTATGGTCACTCTTCGATGTGCCAATACGACATCTTCGACTTTTGTAACGTTTTCCGCATTGAGGGACGTGGATGGGCGTCCCTCGCGATGTTCATCTTCTGTGGATGTTCTACCCAGCTTGAACTCCTTTGCCCAGCGCGCAACTGTGTAATATGGAGGAGCAGAGTCCCCCAATGTTTCCACTAGGTCGCTGTGTATGTCTTTGGTAGAATTTTTTTTCAAACAGAAGTACTTTATGACAGCTCTGATTTAGTTTCTCTCCATTTTGATGTTTACTTTCCGTCTGTTCGTATTCAAATGAACGTACCTCCAGGAAATCGTGGCCTAATTATATTATTTTTTTATGCTGAACTAGTGGATATATGAGGAAGCTAAAACAATTTTTTTCATATTTTTATATGCTCTACAAATATTAATATATAATAATGTGTAATTATTTCATTTCATGTATTTCATAGGTATTTATCAAGATCATTTATCATTTCTTTGAATTCAAATCCTATTTTTCCCAAAGTCTATGGAACTCCGATATAAAATGGCAACACCGTTCATTAAAAACCGACAAAAATAAAAAGTCAAGTAAAAGATATGATGGTAAAGCAAATTTTGGGCCATTATTTTTGTTAGGCTTATAGTCAAAGTTTTTGGTAAGTCGTCGATTTCGTGGACTTGAGATTAAGCTAAGCTAACACTCAGAGAGATTCGCAGTTTGCTCTATAAATACCGACTGTGACTTAACTTGAAAGTTAAGTCTGAGCAAAGTCTAAGTGCGCTCTATAGATCTCACCCTTAGAGACTAGCATTTGCTTTAATCGATCAAGAGTTGTATTTATAGAATAGGCCATGTGACACAATGGTTATATATATAATGGTATCGATCGCTTATACGAGTACTGGGGATAAATAAGGCGCAACTGCGTTTCTCTGTGAATACAAAAGAAACAACATTTAAAGCCTTATTTTAGGCTTTATAAAATAAAATAATGTAATGAAAAAAATTAAAACATCTTACATCTATTATGTCAAGTGACAAATTAAAACATCGTCGATCAGACGGCAAAGAAGAAAAATAAAATATAAAAGAGTTTGTATAGGAAAATAATTAATATTATGTTTTCCTTACATCTCCCCCCCTACAGAGAGTAACAATTACATGTAACTGTTACTCATCGACAATTACAGGGGATAATTAATTCTTTTCCCATAAGCCAGTGCTGCCAATATTTCACAGCTTCTTTTAATGCTAAACATTCTAGATAAATCGCCTTTTTTTTAACTTTGTTTAATTTTTTTGAAAAATAAGCAACCGGTCTATTGTCCCCGTTTTTATCTTCTTGTCTTAAGAATATAGAAGAAAGTCTTCTTTATTTATTTCACCTAGTACATCAGGAATTTGACATTTTTTTAGAAGTTTTCATTTTTAATACCTCAGAATATAAAAGAAAGTCTTCTTTATTTATGTCACCTAGTACATCAGGAATTTGACATTTGTTTTCTTTGAAGTATCGTTTCTTTTTTCTTTTAGGTAAAAATCATTAAACTGTATGTTCTGCTCCTCATCTAAAGATATATTTGATAACTCTTCTGTAATGGTTATCCATACTTTTCTAGTTTGATATCTTTTATTTAAAGATTTTTTTACTTTAATGTAGTTGTGAGTTTTTATGACAGCTTGGTGTAAATTTGCAGGTTGAAACTCGGCCGGAATTGAAAAAACCTGTCCACCAGTTGTAGCGATCGTGTCTATGCAAATATTAATCAATAAATAATTTTTTTTTTATTTCTCAATCTTTCCATATTTCGTAAAATGTGTGCAGAAAATGTTGTTTTATAATGGTATCGATCGCTTATACGAGTACTGGGGATAAATAAGGCGCAACTGCGTTTCTCTGTGAATACAAAAGAAACAACATTTAAAGCCTCTATTTTAGGTTTTATAAAATAAAATAATGTAATGAAAAAAATTAAAACATCTTACATCTATTATGTCAAGTGACAAATTAAAACATCGTCGATCAGACGGCAAAGAAGAAAAATAAAATATAAAAGAGTTTGTATAGGAAAATATTAAATATTATGTTTTCCTTACATATATTTAAATTTGGTTTGACACGTGCAAAGTTTTCTGAGGTATTAGCTATGTTAAGATTTATTCGATTACTGTCTTTTACCTGGACAACACAATTGGATATTAAAATATTACTGCATAAATGTTGATCTGATATAATTCCTTCCTTAAGGTTTGTTTCTTGGACTGAATTAAAAGGAATGGACTTCGTTTTGGATATTTTTAGTTTTAGTTGGAAATGACCGTCAGTTTATGTCGGTTCCATCTCCAGGGTCTATACCTTTAATTTTTATTAGTACATTATTAAGTTTTCGATTAATCCGGATTCCTTTAGAAACTTGCGATTATATTAATATATGTGGTAGTAATCTTTTTGTTGTATCTATATTGACTTCGTAAATCTCTTTATTAGGAAGTGGAGGAATTTGAAGGGAGATCTACGAACGACGCAACACCGAGTTTATTCGTTTGAAGATTCTGGTTTGACAGGATAATCATCATCAGGATCATCGGTATGTTTACTACATGGGACACTCGATTAGGATAATAATGATTTCTTGTACCAGGCTTCTGATTGCGGCGTTAGGTATACGGAGCTCACAATCTTTAATTTCGTGACCCGTGGCATTACAATATCTATAAAATAATGATGACTGTTTGGATAAATGGGAATTAGTAGGTTAATTAGGGGAATACTTTGGGTAAGGTTTAGGCTAAGTTCAGATGACCGCGCGTCGCCGCGCGTCGCCACGCGTTTGGAGCATTCACATGACGGCATATGTACGCGCGCCAGTGTGGCTTCAACATTGATTGACAATGGACGTGGAGAAGGCAATTTGCTTATGGATTTTATATAGAAGACTGAGACGTCGCAGAAGAAGACAAAGACGATACTGGGTGCATCCAATTTTAAGTGACAGACTTTATTCCAGCCTGTTTGTCACTTTGTATCCCGACTTGAGGTTACACGAAGATACATTTTTTAACTATTTCCGGATGTCAGTTGCATCCTTTGATTTTTTATACGATTCTATTGAAAATGATTTAAAATTCAGTGAAGATGCTATAAGATATTGCATATCACCAAAAGAAAAACTCATTGTAACATTGCGGTAAGTTAACTGTTTATTAATCACAGTAAAAATTATAAAAAATAAGAAATTATGAATAAGTCTTTTTAGCAAATTAACTTTTTGTTTAATTGAATAAATCTAGTTCTTGAGAATCTTCGTATGACCCGAGTAATGTTACTTGTGATGAAGATTCTTTATCAGAGTACTTCATCGTGTTGCTATATTGAGGACTTTTAAATGAAGTGGGATAGTTTCTCGGCGGTCGTTGTGAGTTATATGAAGTAGACGAGTAGTTAAAATCTTCAAATGGCTGTGCGTGTGAAAATTGGTATCGTTCTAATAAATTATAAATTACAATTTTCAACTTTAAACGCCGGTTTTCGGGATTTTTTTTATTTCCTTAACCAATGAAAGACAAAATAATTTGTCTTCATCATCATCTTCTTTCTTTTCTGTTGCATTATTATTTCGAGTATTTATGATTTGTTGTAAAAGATCTGCAAAATGTTCATCGGTAGGGTGAAGTTTGTATTTTTTTCGGGGCACATTTTCTGTTGAAGATTGAACGCTGCTGTTAACACTGTCCAAATCAACATTCTCTGTAACTTCGACAACATCAAGGCTATTGTCAGTTTTTCGTTTTTGGACAACTTGTTTAAGAAATGACAATCTTTGGAAATGCGCAAATGAAGATGGTGTCGATGCTGAGGAACCGGACTTCAAATTTTTACTTTTTTTAAGTTCTTTTACATAGGCATCACGAAAATTTTTCAATTTTTTAGCAACTGGTTCTTCATTAGCAGAGTTGCAATATGGTTATAAAATTGGCAGGTCTACGCTATCGGCTATAATTAAGCAAGTGTGCCAAGTTTTATAGGGATTTTTAAAAACTTTGGTCATGAGTCCACCAACTAAAGAACTCTGGACACAAATATCTATACGATTTGAAAATAAAGCATATTTTCCAAATTGTATTGGTGCTTTGGATAGCAAACACATTCGTTTAATACAGCCACCTGAATCAGGATCAATGTATTACAACGACAAACACTTTTTCTCATTAGTTTTAATGGCTTTGTGTGATGCTAACTATTGCTTCATATGGATAGACGTCGGAGCTTAAGGAAAAGACAGTAATTCGGGTGTTTTTAAAAAAAAAACGTACACTCAAATTAGTTCTATTTCGCGTATTATACTGGTGAAAGTCACCATTTGTTTTAAAATCGTTTATATTTTTTTGGACATACAACAAGGCTTCAAGAATATATTGACCAGATAGTGTCATAATATTTAATTCCTTAAACTTATTCCGTACCGACTCCCTCGGAGAAACACAACAAATACCCCGAACAGCCCGCTTCTGCAGCACAAATATGGATTGAACCTCTGCAGCAGCACCCCACAGTAGAATACCGTACGACATAACGCTGTGAAAGTAGCTATGATACACAATTTTAGCCGTGTCCGTATTTTATCAGTAAACTGTCGGATTTTCTTCACTGCATATGCTGCAGAGCTCAGCCTATTCGAAAGAGTCTCTATGTGTGGGCCCCACTGGAGTTTACTATCTATTGTTATGCCTAGAAAAACAGTTCTGTCAAAAAAGTTTAGTTCACTGTCCTTAATTTTCAGGTTACCAATATCTCGCTTTACGCTAGTAGTTGTAATCTACTCATATATATATTGTGGAGTCTTTCGCCCAGAAATCAGTTCGATTTCTTAGCTCTAATTGTGAGCAATAGATCTCTAAAAAGTTGTCTACATTAGTTGCTCCAGGTTTATATATCGCGCCGATGTTTAAAGATAGTTTATCTATGTGTATCCATAAATAATGGTTTTCATCTTCGTATAATTCTTCCGTCAAATCGTATTGTATGCTATCGTGTACGTAAATCGAAGCGCCACCGCCTTTACGCGTCGATCTATAGTTATAGATATGTTTGTAACCTGGCATTGGGTACAATTTAGCGTCACTCTCCGATCTAATCCATGTCTCAGTAAATACAATTACGTGGGTAGTTGCCGGAATCGATTTTAATATGCACTTTATTTCGTCAAATTTGCCGGATTTCCGGATACTACGTAAGTTAGCATAAAAGAATCTTAGTGAGGATGGGTGCACTGGAATGTCTTCGTATTTTTGTACAATTTGATGACATAATCTACTCGTACATTTTGCATTTTGTATCGAGACTTTTATAGGTTTTTTTGGTTTCTTTTGTTTACAATGATTGTGGGCAATCCTTTTATATATTTGATAACAAGATCTTTTTCACCTTTTTCTAAACGTGTGTTTAACTCTTCCTTTTCTTGTTGTAAATACTTAATTTGTGTTGGGGTCTGATCTACGTAAATATGCATATTCTCAGGCATTTTTTTCTTATTCCGTAAAAGGTGTCTTGTGGTGTCCGTAGTATTAAAGTAACATTTTGTCGGCCGGTTCTTGTTAGGTACATATTTTCCTAGTCTAATAGTTTTAATTGGTGTTGGACAGTCGTCATACAATGACCTCATTAATTTCATAACTTCTTTATCGTAGCTCCGTCTTGTGTTGGAGTTTTTGTCGTTTATTTCCGATATACCCACGATAATTATGTTTTTCTCACGGTCACATCGGTCTTTGAGCTCAAGTATAAAATTCTCATTACATAAGAGTGGCGATTTAGTTGTTGAACTTTCATCTGTGTTTTGTTGACCTTTAATATGAGATATTTCCTTTTCTATTATATTAATTTTGTCTTGAGTTTTGTTGTTGTTGGATTTAAAGTTTTCAATTTCATTCTTCATTTGTTCAAATTGTTTCGAAAAGTTTTCTGTGACTGATTTTATGGTTTTTATTTCTTTTTTAATCATGTTGACATGACTACGTTAAGGTGGCCATTCACGGGCGATCCATATGTGTGCGTCCACACTGAATGCGCGGTGACTTGAGCCTGAGGCGGGCGCGGCGAGCGGGGGCCTGCGGTGGCCACACTCAGTAGGGATGAGACATACTTGCAAAATTCAATACCAGGGCTTCCAAGTACGAGTATGTAAAAATACCAGGTACGAAAACCAGGTATAAAAATACTTGAAAGTATTTGGTGGCAATCGTATCGTACAGTGTGTGTACCACAATCTTGCACGGCTTTTTATAAATGAAATCTTTCCTTCCTACTTTGTTTTGTTAATCACAGGCTTAGGACTGTCTGCTACTAATAGTGTTACGGTCATTTATCAGCTAGTTGTGAAATATAGTATTAGCAGGCGTAGTTAAAAGATTTCATTTCATTTTATATATGTACAACTTTTTTTTATTATATATATATATATATATATAGAATTCTCAATCATCATTTTTTATTTTGTTGGAGAAACAACAATTGCTCTAATTTTCGACTCCCGAGTCGGGATCTCCTTTCCGTCAATATGTTCCCTGCTACTGAAAATAGACGTTCGCAAGGCACGCTAGAAGCCATTGCATTTAATTTAATTTTGGCTAGTTTGGCTAAATTTGGATATATTTGCTGATTTATTCGCCACCATTCCAAAGGATTTGTGTCTGGAGACAAAACTGTGTCATCTAAATATTTTTGCGTCTCAATTATGGCTCTGCTATTGGCTGTGCCAGCTGGCCGCACATTGTGCATTTGTTTATTATAGTGTTTCCATAATAGGCTGTTAGATTTTTTCCCCTGGCTATCTGATATATTAGAAGTGGATGCTGAAGACTGATTTTTTTCATTTTCATTTATCATCGCGGTTACTAAGCCCACAATATACTTTTTAGTGCTGTCTGCAACATTTTCGTTCTCAAAGTATAACTATCTCGGGTCTAAAAACATAGCGACGGTATAAGTTCGGCTTTGTTCCAAATTAGAAAACCGCGTGCCTATTTCTGAAAGCAGATCCTGTCGACACATTTCCACTTCATCAGGAAAAATGTCAATATTATTTTCTTGCCGATATGTCTGACTTGCGATTTCTTTGAGAGCGTTGGTAAGACCAATCGTTAAGGGGATAACCGAGCTTCCACTAACATACTTCTGTCCGCTCATCTCTCTTGTCACTTCTTCACATGGTTGTAACACTACTACCAAAGACTGGCAAATGTCCCATTCATATGTAGTAAGATTAATCAAATTGCCAGTGTCTAAATTACTCAAAGCACATTTGATTTCGTCTTTCAGTTCGACAAACCTCTCTATCATGTAAAATGTGGAGTTCCACCTTGTAGCGACATCTTGAATTGGCCTCTTCACTACTTTATTGGCCTGCTCCTGGTACTTTTTTAATTTATTCCAGGCTAAATTACTTCTTTTGAAGTAGGATACTATGGCTTTTACTTTGCCTATTATGCTATTTACGTTTGAGTGGGATAACACTTTTTGTACTGCTAGGTTAAGTGTGTGTGCATAACAGCCAAAATGTCTCCATTCTAATTGAAGTATGGCATTTTTTATATTAGCCCCGTTGTCCGACACTACAAGGAGGACCTTATCTAAAATGTTCCAATCTTGAGCCACATTTCTTAATTCTTGTGCTATATGAAGTGCCGTGTGACTGCTCTCAAATACTTTACATTCCAGTAAAACCGACTGAAGGATAAAATTTTTATCTACGTAATGACCCGTAACGGCTAGGTAAGAATCATTATTTCGTGACGTCCACATATCGGTCGTTAAACATACACTTTTTGCATCTTCATTTAAAGCTGTTTTTGTATTTATCTTTATTTCTTCATATAGCCCCGGCAATAAATTATTGGCGAAATACTTTCGTGATGGTATTGTATAATTTGGGAAAGCAAAATTTATTAATTCGCGAAATCCTTTGTCTTCTACTATTGAAAAAGGCTGTAAGTCCCATATGAACAAATTCATTAAATGATCATCAATTTGTTTTTTTATTTTTTGACAATCGCGCCGAAGGAATGCTGTAATACTGGATGGGTTCGGATTGGACCTTATCGTATTAGATGCGATAGTTTGTATAGCAGTATTGACTGCCGTAATTTGTGCAGTTTGTGAAGTATGCGCCTGTACCTCTTGTTCTTCTTGACGATCCACTTGTTGTTCCCTTCTCACTAAGTTAACGGAAATATGTTTTCTTTGTACATGCTTGGTAAGGTTTGACACTCCTGATTTGTATGAGATAATGACTTTGCACATTTTGCATTCAGCTTTATTTTCACCTTTGTCCACAAAATGATCCCAAGCCAAACTTTTCTTTGGAGCCATGGTTTGTGACTATATTATTATTTAGCACAAGTTTCTACCTATCTAACTATGTATTTTAACTATTATCTAATAACGAAAACACAGTTTTATTTACACTCTATTACCTATTTAGAGTTCAAAAATCGTCTGTCCATTAAACTCGCGAAACTAAACTAAACACAGAATTAAAAAAATAACAGTTTTATACATCTATACACTCACTATTAATAGTTCGAAAATTGTCTTTAAATTCAATAAACTTCGGAAAAAATATTTGTAACTTAACTATTATCTAATGACGAAATCACAGTTTTATTTACACTCTATTACCTATTTCGAGTTCAAAAATTGTCGGTCCTTTAAACTCGCGAAACTAAACTAAACACAGTATTAAAAAAATAACAGTTTTATACATTTATACACTCACTAATTTATATTATATAATAAATCGAAAATTGACTTTAAAATCAATAAACTCCCGAAAAATTGCTTGTAATTTAGGTCACGGTTAGTCGTTGACGTAACAAGCTCGCACTCAAATCACAACTGACAAAAAATAAAAAAACGGAAACTAAACTATTACTTGAAATAAACAAACTTTAAGTGGCACATAAGTATATTTTTTAAAACAATACTTTTGTACACGCAATTATGTGTCTTTTGTGTATAGACATAAGAATGAATAGCGTGAACTAGTCAAAAGAAAGAGTAAAGTTACGATTATTGAATGTTAATACAATTATGTTCCTTATTTTGATCAGTATATGACGGTTATTTGTAAACGAAGGGCTCACGGCAAAATACTAAAATACTTGCATAGGAAATTGACTCGTGTTACTTTAAGAATAAAGACCATAATCGTCTCAGTGAAAAAAATACTTGCAAGTTTCACGTATTTTTTGTTGCAAATACGATTCTGCTTCTTATTTATATAATAAGATGGATCGATTTCCTATGCAAGTATTTTTTAGCCCTGTGCCCGATAGCACAGCAAATACTTTAGTTTTTGCAAGTATTTCTCGCGGCTTTATCGGCGCCGCCAAAATACTAAAATACTTGCATAGGAAATTGACTCGTGTCACTTTAAGAATAAAGACCATAATGGTCTCAGTGAAAAAAATACTTGCAAGTTTCACGTATTTTTTGTTGCAAATACGATTCTGCTTCTTATTTGTATAATAAGATGGATCGATTTCCTATGCAAGTATTTTCTCGCCCGATAGCACAGCAAATACTTTCATACTTGCAAGTATTTCCTTCCCGTACCAGGGCGCCGTCCTTCGAAGCAAAGCCCTGGTTTACAAACCTGGTATGGTAAATACGTCTCACTCCTAGGCCACAGTAACGCGCGAGCTCTTGTAGCGATTTGACGTATATCAGGTGTCGCAAACTATGGACGAGGATTTGCTTGTTTTACTAGACAGTCCAATCCTGAGATGGGAGGTGTTGAACACTAGAGATGGTGTGCACGAAATAAATAAAAACAGAGGAATAACTGGTGAATTTTTTAACTTATATCAAGAACTGAGATTATACCCTACAAAATTCTTTGAGTACACTCCAATGCCCTTGTCAACATTTGACTACATACTAAGTAAAATATCACCTAAAATCACCAAAGAAGATACTAACTTTCGCAAAAGTATTAGACCTGAGGAGAAATTGTTCATAACTCTGAGGTAAGAATAAATCATGATTTTACTTAGTTTTGTATTTATATGTAGATATTGTAAGTAGTAATTACACAAACAGGTAAGTAAAAAGTTTTAATAATCAAATTAATAATTAGGGTAGTTGCCAGTAATATATCCTCCATAATTTTCTTCGTATCTCGGTTGAGAAAACTGCATTCTTTCTGCCTCATCTATTATGATTTGGGTAATTTTATTTCGAATGCGTAACTTTTGTAATTTACCAAACTTTTTCATTTGTGGTAGGAGACTCATAAAAAAATGATAATCATCACATTTCTCCGACTGGTCACTAATTGACGCCATTTTCTGTTCAATTAGCAAAATTTTTTTTCTTTCGCATTCTATAAGTTCATCTCTATAATCTGATGCCATTTTGTTGCGCTTTAACGCGTTTGTGTGACTGCTGCAGGTTGATGTACCTGGATGGACTCATCACGTCAGCAATGTTCGATTGCTCAGTTTGACAAGACTCGTTGAGGGATTCCGAATCACTGTGACTTGTCTATAATAAAAGCTGCGTGTATACTGCACAATGTAATAATGGATTTAAACGGCGATCTCGATCTGGATGTCCAACGTGTGTTAGCTAATTCGCCATTATATGAAAATCTTCAAAGAAACCGCGGAGTCAATAATAATCCATCACGGAGAGCAAAAAATGTTCGTATAAAATTCACAAACTATTTCTGGGAACAATACCAAAGAATGTAATAACTATAGGTATATTATATTAAACTTACCTTCACTTTCAGGAAATTGTTCTTTTATTTCACTCCATAACTTTCTTGTTATTATGCGATTATTGTGGTGTGGATGTTTGCTTTGCCATATAGGTGGTTTAGATTGAATCGCACTTATAAACAGTTCAGTATTTACCGCCATTTTACGACAAACAAATCGACGTAGGAAAGCATATTTGCTGTAAGTAGACAAAATACCTAAAGTGACTTTTTACTGCCATTAGAATCAGAAAAAAAAACCGCATCGAATGTCCCGGGTCCTGTGCCTCTACGATGAAAAAAAATTACATACGCGGTTGAAAACGCCCGTACTTATATTTTTTTAGTAAGATTAAATGCTGTATGTAGACCAAAATCCAGTCATTTTAGACAATTTGTACTTACAGCAAAAGAAAATCTGCATTTTTTACTTTACAAATACTTACTTCTTCCCATTTAAAAACTTAACGCTACTTACAGCATTTCTGCGGCGTGTGATTTTTACATTCGTTTACTTACAGCAAGCTTAGGGAACCTACAGTTTTAGTTTTTTTTACCATTTACGACATGTTATTACAACCAAACATTACATTACCAAATGACCCACTGCATTTCTAGATCTAATCATAATTATAAACTAATCTTACATCTTGAATTGCAATTGAAAGTACCCAAATACATAAATTTACTGCATACAGCATATTTACCGGCTGTAAATTGATAATATTTCCGCGCGTACATTTTTCTTCCTTAGTTACAGCGTTTTAAAGGTTTGTGATTTAAAAAACTGTATGCTGTAACTAGCCAAACACGTACTTATAGTAACTTTGGATAAAAAGTTTACATTGCAAATGGTGACTGGCAGTTAAATAAATATATGTTTCAAAAATGGTAGCAATATCATGGATACTTTCGACACTATTAATTTTTTTCCGAAATTAATTAAGTTTTTTGGCTCTGGTGAACAATTGCAATATGTCTACTTACAGCAAATATGCTTTCCTACGTCGAAATATAGACGCGCATAGGCCGAGCGACAAGACCGAACTGGTTTGTTACCCCCGCCACCCGCGCATTGGGTCGCTCGCTGACTAGGCCCGTAGTGAGGCCAGAACGCGCGGACAGGAGCGTTTGAAAACTACGCGCGCTGTCTCGCTCAGTCCCGTCGCGCTAGGCTTCCGCCTCAGTCACTACAATGTGGACGTAAAGGCGCGTTTTATATGTTTGATACTTCGCGCCCGTCGTCGCGACCGCGCTAGACTCGCAGTGTGGACGTACACTATGGCTTTCGCGCCACTGGCTCGATACTCGACGTCGTGCCGAGCCAAATTGATGCCATTCACGAACGCGCCAGTGAGCCGTTCCATTTGATCATTTTGAGTGTAGGCGTCGATAGCACCGGACGTGTTCATAATGAACTTCAATTCAGAAGATGAGTTTTATTTATCGACCATAGCGATTTGTATAGTTTTAAAAAAAAGGAAGCCAAAAATAAAGTGGTGTAAGGATTGGTTGCTAAAAAGATCGCAACTCACTCACATAAATTTAATAATGGAATTGACTTTGGAGCCAACCGACTGGAGAAATTATATGCGAATGGATGAACCTACCTATTTTAAACTTTTGGAACTGGTGACTCCGCTGATTCAGAAAAAAAACACTAATATCTCTCCACAACGTTTGGGAGTGATAATTCCTGATACATGTAAAGCTATTCTTTTTGCTCTTAAAGATTATATGAAAGTAAGTAAAAAGAAATGTTATATTTATGAATATTATTTATTATAAAAATCAAGTTACAATTATTTATTTATTTATTTATTTACATTTTGTTGCTTTATGATATAAAAGTAAGTAAGTAATAAAAGTAAAGTAAAGAAAAATAAACTAAACAGGAAAAAAAACAAACTAAACTATCAGTATGTTGTGAACTTAACAGCTGAGATTCAGGTACAATTGTTATTGGCACTGGATCAGTTACAATTCTGGACGTAAAATTCAGATTACGAAGGGCGCCATAATATAAACAATCATTAATAAGTTTTTCGCAATGTATTGCGACATTTGGCGGCAAACTTCTCATTTTTTCAGCCACATGTTGTCCAAAGCTTTCATATTTTTGTGGTTGTATTGGTGGTTGTCTCGGTTCATCGAGTTTTTTTGCTATTTTATTAAGAACAGCATCGGCCTGATTTTTTGTTCTCTTGTACGATGTTGATGTAGTCGATGTAGACAGATAAGAAGACGGCCGTGGTGACAGTGGATCTAATTTCATGCTAGCATCAAAATATGAATTTTCATTTAGGTCACTCTCCAAATGAATCTGTATATAAATAAGCGTGTTTTGTTACAGATGCCAGAATCTATAAGTTTAAAGATTGGAAAGAAATAGCCAGAAAATTTGAAGAAAGATGGCAATTTCCCAATTGCCTAGGATCCTCCAAACGGAAGTGGGTCATTTTATTAAAACTACAAAGGATTCCATAGCATAGTATTAATGGCTTGTGCAAATGCTGATTATGAATTCATTTGGTGCGAAGTAGGCGTGAATGGGAGGGTATCAGATGGTGGTGCCATAAAACAAACTCAATTTTACAAAAAACTTGTCAGTAACAATCTTAACATACCAAGTAAAGAAAAATGTCAAAATAGTTCTGAACCGCTATCTTATGTTTTCGTTGGAGACGACATTTGCATTGAGGCCTGATTTCTTGAAGCCGTTCGCTAGAAATTCCCTTACAACCGAGAGGAAAATATTCAATTACAGGTTGATTAATAAAAAACATATTTGGAATGATGTCTAACCGTTTTAGAATATTTCATACATCTATAAATTTACGTATAGATAGAATTGACCTAGTGGTGTTGACTTGTTGCATTTTACATAACTTTTTGCGTAAATCAGACTCTCCCTATAATCGATCAGACTTATTTGAAATTGACGATACTACCATAGATGTGGTTTTACCAGCAACAGCATTTACAGCTTTGGAGGCAAGAAGCGGAAATACAAGTAACGATGCAAAATTAGTGAGAGATAGTTACGTTAGGTATTTTAATGGCGAGGGAAGTGTTAGTTGGCAAAATGCGCAAATTAATTAGTACAGTAGTAGTATCTAGTCTAGAGTCTAGTTAATGTGAACGAGTACCTCTTCTGTATCTTCAAACGGGTCGACCAATATCGAATGAATAGATGAAGCCGCTCGGGGTGTTTCCGTGTCTTTGAGAAATATTAATTGGTCATAGTACCATAATTTTGGAACATGGATGTTGTACTGTACCAGCTTCTGATTGCATTGATGCTTTAACCTGAAATAAATAAACAAATAATGTATTTATTGTTTTCTTTTTAACCCTATTGTGACGGTATTTACGACGAGAAGTCAATTAGTGTATGAATAAATTCCAACCTGTATATTAAATTATAAACAAAGGATTAATTTAATATCCTTTGTTTATTAATAATAATTATTATTTTATTTTTTATCCCACTCTCGGTCCGATATACTACGACTCATTGGTCTAGTGGTTAGTACCCCTGACTGCGAATCCATGGGTCCCGGGTTCGATCCCCGGCTGAGACGACCATCGATGTGATGAGCATTTGGTGTTGTGCTTAGGTCTTGGGTGCTTAAATATGTATTTATATGTCTATCTATCTATAATATGTATGTATATCCGTTGCCTAGTACCCATAACACAAGCTTCACCAGCTTAGCATGGGACTAGGTCAATTGGTGTGAATTGTCTTTAAAAAAAACAATAGCGTACCGCGTATTCAACAACATAGTAGGTATGTCTTAACGAATATGAACAGAAATACGACGCAAAAATATTTAACCCCTGAACATTATTACACTACACACAACATTAAAATTGAGGCCATTAGAACCATAGTGGCCTAACTAATTTTCAATATTGAGTTTATGATTTTTTCCACTTCAAATTGATCATGTTGATAGAACCAGAGTGGCCTAAAAGTGATACAACGAATGTTCACTAGATGGCAGTATAAACACTGTTGCGGTTTTTAGTTTGTGATCTAAATTTGAGGTGCCATATTGGCCTAAGTCAGATAGGCCACTATGGCTTAAACCCTCTTTAACTCCACTGTCACGATGACATTAGTTAGGCCATAATGATGAAGTAACAATGTATGTGTGGGATAAAACTATAGCTTCTATGGGTCTTCAGGAGATTGGTTCCTGCTTGTTGCGTTTCATCAAAGAGAAAGTCAAGACTAAAAAGTTAATTGTGTACTCAGACCAGTGCAGTGGTCAAAATAGAAATATTAAAATGGCTACTCTTTGCCAGTATATTGTTGCCCATACAGATTACACAGTAGATAACATAGACCATAAGTTCTATGTCAGTGGGCACTCATACTTAGCATGTGACCAAGATTTTGGATTAGTAGAAAAGAAGAAAAAGTTTTTCAAAAATATTTACTTACCTGATCACTGGACTACTGTTATTAAGGTAGCTAGGGATGACTTTATTTCAACAAAAAAGCTGGAGAATAACATTACCAACAGGAAGATAACTACCGAAAAATCAAAGGTAACAGTGGCTAAGCATACAGTGGCTTTTGTTTAATAAAATGCATCCATTTACATTATTATTTAAATATTCTAATAATGAAGATGTTTTATTTGAAAACGTAGATTTAAAGAAAAGGGGCTCTACAGATTTGACTGGTATTAAGCTGGATCCTTTATACCCTGATGGACAATCCATCAGTTGTGAGAAAAAAAAGGATTTATTAGATCTATTGCCTTCTATACCTCCAGTGTATCACAGCTTTTATACCAGTTACTGAAAATACTGTTTTTATTTTCTATGGTACTCAAAATACTTGTCAATTGAATTAGGCCACTATGGTTCTCATGGCCTGAAATAAAAAAACAGCTAGGTTATAAGTATAAGTACTTACTTTATTAAACTCTTTCCTGAATGAGGCTCTTAGTGCCTGAAGTTTCTATTTTACTGTGTCAATAGTGGCGTTAGGCGATTTGGTTTTATAAAAACTTAGCTAAACCTCTAATGCTGCATCGCGTTTTTGTTTGTTGTGGTAATTTATATCTGTCACATCCCACAAACACGTCAGGTCTCTAAACTTATAAATAAATTGATTAACAAAGTCACGGTTTGAACTCATTGCGAAAACGATTTATATGAACAATGCGTCACGTGCTTCTCGTCCAACGGCTAAACGCAAACTGAAATCAAAATGGCGTGTTTGGCTCGCGAGTAACACCATTCACGAGCGAGCAAACCGTACGGCACGATGGCTCAGACCGACCGGACCGTTGGTTTTCCACATTCACGAGCGCGCCGCCTGCGTATGCGCGCCGCGCCAATTGACTCGGCGCGATGGACTTTCGCGCAGTTGGAATTCCATCGCGCCGAGCCAATCCATTTGGACCGACAGTGTTTTCACATTCATGGACGAGTTTTGGATCGACAGCGTGCCAAATGTATCGATGGATCGCCCGTGAATGGCCACCATTAGGTAATTGAAGCTTTGACCTAATGCTCGAAGTTTGCTTACAATCTGAGTCGTTAAGCGTCTCATTTTTAGTGTTCAAATTGTGTTTTTTGATTGTCTTATCGATATTAGAGAGAATGTCGAATATTTCTTCGATTTTACTAAAATCCTCCGGATCTTCAGGATTTTGTGCACGTATTTGGATACAAGCATCGCTATATTCTTGAAAACCGCTGACGACCCTATCTCTTATAACTATAAGTCGTTCTAGCGAACGTGATTGCAACTCACCTGATATTAGTGCATTATGAATTTTAGTAATAGACATCTTTGCATAGCCCCTTTTTGCAATATTAACTTTTGTGTCGGCCATGTTCACTAATAGGGCAATATATTGCTAGCTTTCCTAATGTTAGTTAATACTTAAAACTATGTGTATTTTGTTACAAGTAGTTACTACTAAAATCAAAATGGTGGAGTTGAATGACGCTTGATGCTTGCTTACGCGCAGTACGAACGTTGTCGGCGACCGCGTCGTTTGCTACGGTGAGGCGCGCTGTGATTGGCTACTGCTTGCACTCGTACGTGATTCGTCGGTTTCGGCGCTCGTATGCTGTAGTGCCAACTGAAGGAAGTGAATCGCAGTTGACATTGACAGACAGCTATTGTGTTTATCGACTCGCTCTTTCCGGTCCGGCTTCGCTTGTTTGTTTGATTGATGTGCTCCTTCCTCTTTGTCTTTGGTAGTATGTTGAAGACTTTGTGAGGGCTTCGTAATAAAGATGGCGAGCGAATGTAATAAAGATGAGTTGGTAACTAACTTGATGTTGATGCTTTTCTTTCTACGGATACCTCTGCGTCCTGGGTTCTGCGTTGTAGCTTCTTGCTGCCCTCGCGGGAGAATTCTTAAAGGCGAAGACGGCTCGCGGGAGAATTCTTTAACGAAGACGGCACGTGCAGACAAGGCGATGGCGCATCATAGAAGGACCATTATGTAGGGCACTAGTATGATTAGTTACCCAACACACGGTTATTCCTAGCTGCAGAGCGTGGACTGTAGATTGATTGATTCCAGGTGAGGTGACAGGCGTAGTAAAAACACTTATTTTTCATTAATTATTGCACCACTTTATTTGAGCACACATTACAATGTATCACGGTGGAAGCGGAAGAAGTTAAATCCATAGACATAGATAGGAAGAAAAATTACAGATAACAAAAACTGTATCAATTGAATTATAGACTACAAATATTACATTATGTTGCCAACACCTTATGCTGCCATTCACACTTTATAATAAGCGTATGCAGAAAATACAAGTATGTTTACGCAACACATAGATACTTATTACCTATAGCCATTGAATTTATAATTATAAACAAACGCCTTCTATATGTACCGTAGCAAAGCTATAATTTAACAATTAACATTAAAACGTTTAACTATACTAAAAAAAAAAAAATGTTTTATGTCGCGGGGGAAAAACATGCATTTAATTAATAAATAACTGCATTGTTCAGCACATTTTTAAATACATGAACTATTTTAAAATATTTTGATTTTGGTTTTCATTTGAATTTTACTATTTCAAGATTATTTCAACGTTAGTAAAATTAATTATTTTCATTTTAACGAATAACAGACAGCGACATGAAGACGGTTGAAGATGCGGTGCCAGCACAACAGACGGGTCTACGGTCATCGAAGGTGAGTGAAGATTCCAACTAAGGCAACAACCTGCTTCCACAACGCGCGTGCAAAAGACGCTGCAGCTGTACCAGCCTTTGCAGTCGCTGTGGGGCGCCAGAATGTTCAGATTTCATCATTTGAACATCAACAAACTGCTGACCTGTGTGTGCTAAATATTAGCAGCTGAATAGCAATTTTAATTATATTAGGTTGGGGAAAAAGTCTTTTCGCATTATAGTATGTATGAACTTGTAATAAAATCTCTTTGGCTATACTATATGTATCTGGCTGGTTTTGTTATCAAGGAAAGTTGAGATTTTAAAGAAGATAATTCCAAAATCAAATTAGGATAATGTCTGTTTTTTATTTATTTTTCGTACCGTCAAGATGAGTAAATCGAATGAAGAAATTCGATACATTTTAAAATTTTACTACAAAAAAGGTCAAAATGCAATACAAGCCGCGAAAAAAATTTGCGATGTTAATATGGCCCTAGCGCAGTGTCTGTGACAGTAGCACAAATTTGGTTTAAGCTTTTTCAATCCGGAAATTTTGATGTCAAAGATCCAAGTCGCTCTGGTCGCCCTATGACGGATAAAATGGATGCCATTTTTTAAAAAGTATACAAGATTGGCATATCAGTAGTTACGACGTAGTTAAAGAACGGGGAATTGACCACTAAACAGTTTTGGCGCATTTGAAAAAAACTGGGTACACAAAAAAGCTCAATATTTGGGTACCTCACGAGCTCACTGTAAGAAACCTAATGAACCGTCTACTCATTTTTGATTCTTTATTACGACTTAATGGAACCGAACCATTTTTGAAGAAGCTGATAACTGATGATCAAAAGTGGATCACGTACGACAAGAACGTGCGAAAAAGGTCGTGGTCAAAGGCCGGTCAGGCACACAGTTTTCAGACTGTGGCGAAACCCGGGATAACAAGGTGATGCTGTGTGTGTAGTGGGATTGGAAGGGCATTATTCATTATGAGCTGTTACCACCAGGCAGGACCATCGATTCTGAACTCTACTGCGAACAACTGATGAGATTAAAGCAAGAAGTTCAGAGAAAGCGGCCGGAATTAATCACCAGAAGGGGGTGTGGTTTTTCATCATGATAACGCTAGACCTCACACATCTTTAGCCACTCAGCAAAAACTGAGAGAGCTTGGCTGGGAGGTGATAATGCATCCGACGTATAGTCCTGACCTTGCACCTTCAGATTTCCACCTGTTTCAGTCTCTTCAAAATTCTTTAGGCAGTGTCAGGTTAACATTACGAGATGACTGCCAAAACCAATTGTCGCGGTATTTTGATCAGAAGCCCCAAAATTTCTATAGCAATGGGATCATGTCCCTACCTAAATGATGGCAAAAAGTTATCGAACAAAATGGTACCTACATACTTTAGTTAAATGTAAATAAACTATATTGAAAAATGTTTTGAATTTTCTTAAAAAATGCGAAGAAACTTTTTCCCCAACCTATTATTTTATTAACATATTGATCAGCCGGGTCAGCGGCTCATATGTGTTCCAAATTTTAATAGCTGAGGTTGCGCGATGCACCAGCTCACTAGAAAAATATCATGTATGTGTGAATAGGTGTAATTAGTATTTAAGATGTTGTTTTATAACAATAAATTAGATTTGAATATTGCTCTGTATTGTTTATTTTTCGCTTCCTCTCAAAGTGGCGAAGACTACCTCAAGCCCTTAATTGTCGTGGTGAGCCTGCCCGGTAGCTTTGAGATAATCCCACCACCTCGAACCTTTGATCCTACCCGTAGGGCTCCGTCTGTTACCTTAGGTCTCTTGGTGCAGACATGTATGAGTTTGAGTTTATTTAGTCATCTAGTGCAGCTTGCTCATACATACATTACATATACTATTCAGATACTCCTGACATTGTACATATAAATTTAAAACACACTTTTCACAGTCCACTAACTAGCAAGCTGTACACTTATCAAGAAAACAGCCTAAAAACGAACCGCTCCTAAAAGAATACACGCAATATCGAAACTTCTGTAATAACATCCTTAAAAATGTACATAAGGCTGACACCATCCTTAAGAAGAAAGATAATAGTAAAAAAGTATGGAAATCTATTAATAAGGAAGGCTTCCGATTATTAAAGACAAAACAGACTGAACAAGACCTTTGCTATAAAGTTTCAATTACCGCTAACTCGAATTATTTTCTATTCCTTAAAGAAGTTACAAAAATTATTAGCTCTCTTATGCCTAATTCTGCCCCAGGTGATGATAATATTAGTAACCGAGTGGTAATTTCATTAAAAAACATTATTGCAGCACCAATTTCTTATATCTGCAATCTTAGTATAGAGACAAGGAATTCCTGGAAATATCCTCTGTTGGTTTAATCCTATCTATCCAATAGAAAGCAGAGGGTTCGAGTTGATGGGTATAGCAGTCAACTAGAAAACGTTTCATGTGGTTTGCCCCAGGGAAGTGTTCTTAGTCCAACGCTTTTTTGGTGTACATTAACGATTTATGTTCACTCGAACTCACTAATGCTCTTTCCATTCGCTAATGACATATAGTCTTCTACTCACACTCTTGGGAACAAGCCACACTGTTAGTTCATTTAGGTCTTCGCCAAATCTCTCAATGGCT